ACTGAATACTAAACTTATCTGCAAGTCTGTCTCTATTGAAAAGTAAAAAGGAAAACTTTATTTTAAAACTATAATAGCACAGAACATGGATCTAATTCTACTTTGTATTCCTCTATAAGACGTAGTTCAGACTCTTATGAAGATGGTGGCAAATTAATTGATGACTCAACTAAATATTTTTCTCTCACTTAACCAAGATTTAAACTGGTTTAGGGTTTTTTAATAGGAAGGAAGTTAATATTAAGAACTTGTTAAAAGCTCAAGATATTTTTTAAAAATCTGCACAGAAGATCCACAACAAAGATTTTCATTTGTTTTATGAACAGATAAGTTCTACGATGTGTAAGAACAGTAAGTACTGGATGTGAAGGCTTTATAATTTATCTCACAATATACAAGTAAGTATAAAACTTTGTACTTACAATACAAGGTAAAAGATACAAGTCAATAAATCTTTAGTGAGCACCTAGTATGTGCCAGGTTCTGGAAATACAAACATGTGGGAAATTGGGTCCTTATATTCTATTAGGAAAGACAAACTTAAAAACAAACACAATTCAGTAAGAAGTGTTTCAAAAGCAGCAGAGAGGCAAAATAGAAGATACAATAAGCACCCCAGAAGAAGAGTGTTTCTCCAGTGCCATAATATTACACAAATTCAAAGGACAGAAAGAGGGCGCCTGGGTGGCTCAGTTGGTTAAGCGACTGCCTTCGGCTCAAGTCATGATCCTAGAGTCCCGCATCGGGCTCCCTGCTCAGTGGGGAGTCTGCTTCTCCCTCTGACCCTCCCCCCTCTCGTGTGCTCTCTCTCTCTCATTCTCTCTCTCAAATAAATAAATAAAATCTTTAAAAAAAAAAAACAACAAAGGACAGAAAGATCCCTACTGGCTGGCAATTCCATTGAACTCTGAAGAATAACTAAGATTTGACTGGCAAAGAAGGGAGGAAGGATATTCTAGCGGCAGAAAAATCATGACCACAGGCATGGAAATAAAAAGGTAAAGAGTAAAAAACAGAACAAATGGAGATACATCAGTTATAAGCTAAATGATGAAACACTTTAAATTTAAGGAGAGGAGTGACACAATGAAAGTGATATTATTAAAAAATTATTTTGATAGCAATATGAATGCTGGATTGGACCAGAGAGAGAATAAAGGCAGAGAAAGCAATTAACCTATTACTATACTCTAGGGATAAAATAATAAAGGTATGAACTAGGTTGATAATGAGAGTAGCAAGGAAAAGAACTGATGCAAAGGCAATTGTGAAGACTGACTGGATATATAGAGACAAGGGGATGAATAAACAATAACTGAGATAAGTATCTTGATCCAGAGACTGATGACATCATTAAAAGAATCAGAGGTATCAATGAGAAGAGTAGGCTTGGTGAAGAAAGATTTAAGTTTTATTTCAGGTTGAATTCAAAGAAATTCCTGACAATGATGTAAAACTAACAACTGAATATTACTTAGACTGAAAATAGGATACAGGTAAAGTCTAAGGATATGAAAACATATATACATATGTATTGAAACTGTTGTGATAGAAGTAGAGTATAAAACTGATTTATAACTATGAAGATTCATGTTTGAATAAGAATCCCTTGAAGAAATCACAAAGCTAAATGTAAATGCTGTAACTGCTATTCTATGGCAGAGGCGGTTAACCTCTATTTACTATATTACTACTTAAAAATACATTTTTAAATATAAAATCACAACACAGTGAATAATATTTCATTTTAAATCAATACATCATCACCAGAAAAATGGAAATGAGGCACTGGAGCTCTGCAGAAATGTGAGAACTGGAAACTGACTTGGAAGTTACTGGCACAGAGGAAGTAGGTAAGATTTTAAGGTAAAATCAAAGGTTAAACTCAACACTGTTGGAAGAAATCTCAGTCCTACGTTTATGCATACCAGTATCAGTAGTAATCAGCAATAAGGCATTCTACAGAAACCTCTATTACTCTCCTAAAATCTTTATAATGTATACTGAAATATAGATACAGATCACAAGGCAGAAAACTCGACCAGATACCTATAAAATCAGAACTGATTAATGCTCACCAATAAAAATGAAAATCTACTCTAGACCTCAGTTGCAGAAAATGAGAAGTTTACTTTAGCTTCAATACTGTTCAGTATTGTTTTCTAGCTATGGGAGTCAGGGGGAGGGAGGCTATTCTAGAGACCAAGACAGGAAATTTGACAAGAACACTGCTTTTTCTCCAATATGGATGACATACTTCTATACAAAAAGAATAGCTGAAAATTAAGTAGCTTTTGTAACCTCTAATGAAAAGGCACATTCAACCAATAAACTTTTAAATATAAGCTGCTTACATTAAAAATGGAAGTAAAATATTAGATTAAGTATATTTATGGGTTGTGAAATTTCTAAAACTTTTCTCCTGACAGTGAAATTTAAGACACTTGATTAAAACCAAAAAGGTAAATGAATATTCCAAAAGACTAATCAATAATTAATCTAGCAAAAACATTTTAGGTATCATATGATCTTTTGAGAAGTTAAATTAAAAAAACACTATTCAAGGGTTATTAAATCAGTGGGTCAAAATGTTTTATAACTTAAGTATTTAAAACAAGCAGCATTCAAGAAATTTCTTAAAAGCTTAAAATTTTCTTGTGATTCTTTTTTAAAAAGTTTTATTTATCACCTTTCACTATCTGTTGTCCTGAATTTGCCCAAAGCAAACTCCTTGTTCTCACAGTCACAATGGGGAAAAAAGTACAAGAGTTGATAAAAAAGAAATGAGAGTGGAGAAAACATGATAAAAATTTTAGTACTTGATATTTTAAAGACTTTAGCGTCAGTGACTTAAGGAATGTGCAGATAAACTACAAAAAGATATTATGCAAATAATTATGCATAACTTTGAAACTTCTGCTTAAAAGCTTCTCAGCTAAAAAAAAAATACCCAATTAAGACTATACCTATATGGTGCCGAACTAACTACTGAATTCAGTTTATCAGGAAAATATTGATAAATCTGCTGATTCTTGCAACATGTACAAACTGAGAGGGAAAAAAACCCTTAAAGAGTCTGTTACATGTATTTTCTCTTCCTACTGAGGCCAATATTACACCAATATAAGCATTAGAAAATTTCCTCTTCCTCCAAGTCAATACAATGGGGTCCCTCCACAAGTGTGAAAACTTTAAATTTCTATTTGACAATTTTAATAAAACATATTGATGTAAACCATTATCCAACTGTACCTTGATCCAAGCATACAATAACTGTGTCTTTCAGAATCAATTCCCTACTAAAACATATAAATTGCACTTGAACGATCCTTCATCTTACATAACTACATTATCATTTTTAGTGCCAAAAGTTTCTTTCATGCTCAATGCCATGTTTTTAGAATCTAGAGTTTGCTATGCTTTAAAATAAACCTCAGCCAAATAAAAAGTATGCTATACTTTAGAGACTCTAAATTTACGGAATAGAAAAACAACTACAGACCGCGCTATATTTTTACTAGGTGCCACATTCTGAATTCCAGATTTGTCCTGCAATTTGTCAGTGATTTCAATCCATCAAGTCAACTTTGTAAACAAAGGCTATAAGCCAAGTTTGATACGAGAATTCAGTTAAATAAAACTTAAAACGGTCATCATTCACCGAACAGGAAGCAGTAAAAGGAAAATGCCACCACACACCTTTTAAAAAGGCAGCAAGGCAATATTCATAAAATATAAAGCCTTAAGTTTCAACCTCTCAAACAAGTTTTTGTTACAGTATTAAATAAAATACAGCTATGATCTTCCACGTATAACTAAGTCAACTTTGAGACAGTTTACAAATCTTCATTTTAAGGGGAAACTATTGCTGTAAAGTCGTTTTCTAAGTAATTCCAAATTGCCCACTAAGAAAATGGAAAGAGTCTATGTCTTGTCACCTATTACCGTCACTTAAAAATTGCTTTTTATGCAGAACTCTACGTGGTTGTGTTGCTTTTGGCCTGTTAAAGGCAAAGCAACATTATCTCTGGATTGCCAATAGTTTCTCCTTATTTGGCTAACATTGAGAGATCCCAATCAGACTACTATAAAACTTTAACATGCACAAAGCATCCATTTTGAGAAAAGTTTGTGAACAGCTTTCTTTTTTTCCACCCCCAAAAGGAAAATCAGAGTTTGGTAATCGGCTCTGAAAAGCGTGCCCCGTGTTTATTCTTCTCTTTCTAACCCCAGTGCACACCCCAAGACGTGAGGCTCGAGGATCTCTGACACTGCGGCAAACTCTTCTCCGAAAGACACTTCAGTACAATCGGGTCCGGCGGTGGGCAAGCCCTTCTGAACGCTTCCTTACCTTATCCACCTCCATCCCTTCCCTTTCACCCGGAGCAGATCAGCTAATTACACCCCATTTCCCCCTCCCCAACGACCAAGAGTAATAAAGGAGAAAACAGGAAATCGTCGCTCAGGCACTACGCTTAGGGCTCTTGATTACTATTATTATCATCATCATTTGTAATCAAGTCCTAAAAACTACAGCAAATCCAATGCCCACCTACAAGCCAAAGACGTCCATCTGCCCAAGTGTCCCTAATGCCCCTTGTTGGTCGTTTTCTTTAGCATCTCCCGTCGTCCAAGTATATCACTGACATCGGGCCCAGGTACAACCCCAGTACACCCCACCCGGTCTCGACCCCAAATCCCAGACACACGTCCACAAATGGCCCTGGGGCCCCAAGCTGATCACAGTCCCTTTTTCCTCTGCCCCGGAAATCACCCGGTTCCCAACTCCAGCATCAACTAGTCTGAAGGGGGCCTCAAGCCAGAAGCCCTCCCTCCACCAGTTCTCTCCCCCCTCCCTCTCGGGAAGCCGCCCCCTCACCCCGCAGCAGGGAGTCTCCCGCCGCCCCCAGCCTCCAGAGGCCGAGAGCGCAGAGAAGGCCCCAGCGGAAGGCCGACGAGAACCCGCAGAATCAGGAGAGCCGGCGGCAGGGTGCACAGACCTGGTGCAGGGCAGTGAGTCCGTCCACATTGGCGTAATTGATGTCCGCGCCGCGGTGCAGCAGCTTGAGGACTTCGTCCGTGTCGCCGCTGGAGCAAGCGGCCAGAAAGACGGCGCCATCGTCGAACTTCACCTTGGTCTTCTGGCGCTTCACCACGGGAGGCTCGAGGTCCGTCTCGGAGCCGATCCAGCGCTTCAGCTGCTCGTTCCGCTTCTGCTTCGCGTCCGCCATCTTCATCCCCTCTCCTGCCGCCGGGTCTTCTTATCGCGAGGGGGGGGAAAGGGGGAGGCGGAGAGGGAAAAGAGGGGAGGCAGGGGGTGTGTGACTGTTTCTATGAGTGCGGGCCAGAAGAGGGCTGGGAACCGGGAGGAGACGCTCGAGACTTCCACTATCCCACAGAGCACTGGGGCGGCTCGCCCGGCCGAGCGGACCTCCCTTCCTACCCCAGAAGCCCTCCCGCCCCCGGCCCGGCCACCCGTCACCGGCGGCCAATCTAACGTAACTTCGCGAGATCCGGACAGGGAGGCGCCCTTCGGCCAGTGCGCATGCGCCGTAGGCCTGTGCCCGCCCCTGGAAGAGCGCTCCCGCGAACTGCGGCGGGGGCGGCCAGGCCACCGGAGGGAAGCGGGTGTGGTTCAGGGCCCCCGGGCTGCGGGGGCTGGGACCAACCTGGAAGGGCGGAGACACGGAAGGAAGGTTGTCCCGCCTGGCTGAGGGCTCCTGGGGTTCCGGAGGCCAACAGTTGGGCTGTACGGCGCCTGTACCGGGCCGACCTGCCTCCAGGGCTGTCTGAGCTCCGCAGAGTCGTTCGCTCAGGGCGGAGGATTTTCCTATTGGCTGCGTTATTTGAATGGAATGGAGGATAGGACGTGAATTAGGCGCTTGTGATTTCTCTTTCTGAGGAACTCGGATGAACTTGGGCATGTCAGTATTGATAAGCTCTTAAAAGTGGGGTCTGTGTAGCCGAGGGCTCTGGTGTCAGTTACCCCAGACCTCAGTCCTAGGTGACCGCCTGGTAAGAAGGGTTGACCTGCGGTTAATTGCGGTGGCTTCCTGCCAACCTCCACTGTAGAAACGTCTTTCCTCTTATGCTTGTTTTTTTGTTGCTTTGTTTTGTTTTTTCTCTCACGCGTATTTCGAGTCCTCTTACCCTTTTTTCAGTGCTCTAAGCCTGCCTTGTACTACCAATGACTTTAGCTCAGCCTTGTTACTGGTCCTAACCTTTTAAGGGATTTCTGGTTCCCGCTCCATTGCTTTCTAAGGATGGGTAAAGACCCAGCTGCTTCTAGAGTTCAAAGGAATGTTAATATTACGCAATTAATTCATTTGGTATTTATTGAATATTTACTATGAGCCGGTCGTTGTTCTAGGCACTGGCGATCCATTGACCATAATGAGATATTTAAACCACCTTTTGAGGTTACGTGTCCAGAAAAAAAAGACTTTGTAAATCGTTATAATCATGAAAAAAAAAGCCTTTTATTTTTGTCTTGTTTGACACCACACACAAGACTTGTAACAATAGCTAAAGTCTTTCAAGCCATCTATTTGCAGTCTCCACCAATTGATATATTTTTTTAAACACTCCATTGTTTTCATCCACTACAGTTTTAGAACATTTAGAGCCAAAGTAAGAAAACTCATTACTTTTTACCATTAAATGGAATTTTAGGGATCATCTAGACTGATTCCCCAAAGAACTAATTAACTAATTTTACTCAGCAGCAGGATTAGGATTCCTTCAGCAAGTATTCCTGTACTGGGCAGGCATTGTTCTAGATGCTGGGGATGCAGCAGTGAACAATTAAGCTTTTCTTATCCTCCCGTAGACTACACTGCAGCCTGTCATACTGAGAAAATAATTGAGTGAAATGCAAGTAGGAAGCCACCTGCAAGACTGAATTTTCTGAAATGCAAAAACTAGGGTAATAATAGAACCCAAATTAGGGTAAAAATATTTCCTCTGGAAATATTGTAGAAAGAGAAAGTGAGTGTAACATGCATAAAATGCACCAATGGTAATAATCAGACCTTTGAATAATGATGGTGTTAGGAGCTGAAGAACTGTTAGTGCTAAAATAAAATTTCTATTCACTCTAAGAGCTCCAGAATATAGCTCTTATAATAAAAGAAAGGAATCTGAGAACTGCCGTGTCAGCTTTTCTGTCTACCTAGAAAAACTGACAAACTTATCTTTACTGTTTCCCAAGAATGTTATGGTCTTAAAAGTGCTCTGAAATACAGGTTGGTATCTCAAGGTTTCATGTGGACAAGAGTTTGATGGGAAGTATGCTGTTTTGGATTCAAGTACTTCAAAATGTAGAATTAATAAAATGACAGTTTATTAATAAACCATAAATAGCTAAGTACCAGTTACCAAAGGCTAGCAGTCAAAAACAAAACAAACACAACAAAAGCCCACCTGGGCTATTGTATGCAAATTTCATTGAGTTTAGCTTTCCTTCCCCAGCTCTAAGGGTCACCAAGTTCCATGTTAATCTATTGGAAGTAGTCTTAAACTGCACCCCTGCTTTGCCTTGTAGGGAGGATTTTTTTTTTTAATGATATTATTGAATTAATACTGAAGACCTATGGCTAATTCCAGAAGAGGCAAAACTTCTTATTTAAAAAACAACACAAAGCTAATCACTTCATAATACTTTAGTAGCTGAGTGAACTTCAAACTTTAAGCAGAAGAAGAAATGAAAATACAAAATAAAAATTGAACTGTATTAATTTGCTAACTGGTTTTCTTTGCTGCAGCAAATCATCAGTCATGTTGGGGTCTTAATTACATGCAGGAAGTTGTCAAAAGGGAATATGTATTTTTTTTAAGATTTTATTTTTAAGTAATCTCTATACCCAACATGGGGTTTGAACTCACAACACCAAGACCAAGAGTCACATGTTCAACCAGCTGAGCCAGGTAGGTGCTCCCAAGAATATATATGTTTTTAAAAGCCTAATTACACCACAGATATCCCCTACTAACCATTAATTTAGTTGTTAATTATGATCAATTTGAAGAATTTTTATTAATTTATTTTAAATGTTTACACACATGAAGCTTATTTTTCTGTCCTCTCTTTCTGATGTACCATTACCTAAAGAGTCCAGCAATAATATGATACTACACTTATAGTCAAATTTATTATTAGAAAAACAACTAGAAAGGGACACCTGGGTCGCTCAGTCGGTTGGGTGTCTGCCTTCTGCTCAGGTCATCATCCCAGGGTTCTGGGATCGAGTTCCGCTTTGGGCTACCTGCTCAGTTGGGAGCCTGCTTCTCCCTCTGCCTGCTGCTCCCCCTGCTTTGTGCTCTGTCTCTCTCTCACTTTGACAAATAAATCAAAAGAAAAACAACTAGAGAATGTAGTAATATAGGCACAAAAACTTGTGTGTGTATGGCCTTAACTTAGTACCAACCTATACAATGTGGAGATTTGTTTATTTATTTACTTATGAATGAATCTAAACTTGAAAATATATTCGATCATATTGTAATATGTGAACGCAGAACGAGAAAAGGAAAATTTTAAAGTCAACCCAAGCAGAAAATAAAAATTTCAGAATTAGCCTTTTGTTCGGTAAAAGACTGGTGAATTGCCAGATGGTAAAAAGCTTTTTTACGTGGCAAAAGAAGTTCATCTCTAATTATTAAAGAAAATAGTTAAGGGTGGCTCAGTCAGTTAAGCATCTGACTCTTGGTTTCAGCTAAGGTCATGATCTCATGGGTCGTGAGGTCAAGCCCCACTTAGGGCTTTGCACTCAGCAGGGAGTCTGCTTGAAGATTATCCTTCTCATGCTCCTCCTGCACACTCTCTGTCTCTCTCAAAATAGATAAATACATCTTTAAAAAAAATAGTTAACTCTTGGGATCCACATTGTTTCTTTGCTTAATTGATAGCTCACTGCTTTGCCAGCCTTTATAATCTTTATAATACTGAAGGTATATATCACTAATACAATGTAGGATACTAAAATTTTCCAAAAACCAACTTCTGTTCAGTGAATCTTTTTCCATGTAAAATTTTATTATACAATTGGAAATGCATTTTGGTACAAAGTGTATGTAAGATAATAAGTAAAGTCTACATTTAAGTTCTCATCCCTAATTCAAACCTGAAATTCTAATTTACTTTTATACAGTTCAGAATAGAATAGTCAACAAGGCAGTTTGGTCTTATCTCCTGTACTCTACACCTGGGCTAGCCTCTCTTCTGTATAACAATGTCTTCCAAATGTTTTTAGGAACCTAAAGAAAAGTTTACAATCTGCTAGCATCAAAAGATATTCAGTCCCACCCAGATTGTTGACTGGGACCAACCCTGAATCACCCTAAGTTGCTTCAGACTCTACTTTTAGAACAACCGTGATTTCTAGATCATAGTATCTAAGCCCTTGCCTTGACTCTGGGTTACAAAGTCAGCCTCACTCTCCGTACCCAATGGTCCACTACTCTGAAAGTCATCTTGCTTTTAACTCTTCAGGGAAAATGCTCTGTCACATCTGGCTTCATCCCAAGAACCTAACCCTCATACATTTACTTGTGGCTGATATTCTCACGAAGTTCCTCTGGTCCCCATAAATAGGCAATCAGATGAATGTCTGGCAACAATTCAAAGTACAGAAATAGTGCTAAAAAGATAATGACTTGCCTCTAATGCACATGACTTACAACCTGTATCATGGTCAGTGTCAAAACATCACATGGCCATTCATATGAATTTCTTAATTTAGTGTTCCCCAAACTTTGTCATGATTTTTGCCTGATCCAGAAACCACAAATACTATTAAAATGTTTCCTTTAACTTTTAAAAAAAACCTTAGATTTATATTTTAAAATAGATTTATTTTAAAGGAAACATTATGTCATTTTTGTAAGTGGAAAACATTTCCAATTGACATAAATAAAAGAAGACCTTAAAAGCAAATGCAATGAAAACAAGATGTTATACTAGTTATGTTACCTATCTAGGTTCCAGGCCCAAGGCCTCTTCTCAATTTGTTAAAAAAGGAAGATTGGCAAGTGTTGGGCATATTAACATGAACCTGTTATTTTTCTACATAATCACAAAGATTAAAGTATATTGAAAAGAGAATAGCCTTTTTGCTAAGTGCTTCACTGGTATTTGAATGTCCCATCCATCAAAAATTACTTCGTGTACTCCCATTCTACATGTCCCACACTTTGGGGAACACTGGCTGACTTTAATTACCATGTATAATAATAATTATAATTAATTTTATGAGGATTACAAGAAGGGCCTTCATGACACACCCACCTCCAGTAATCAAGGCAACGCCATTGAAAGGCCTATTTATATAAGAGTATCTATGAGCTCTGGGAGAAAACATGACAGGAACTTCACAGCTAAGTGTCATCCTCCATAGCAATGAAATTACAAGAGCAACTAAATTCTGCTCCAATATCTGGAAGGAGAGTTTAGGTTCATGAGCTCCATCTTGGAA